GGGTCTTCAGATCACGCCCAAACGATGGCTTACCGTTCTGGTAGACGTATTGTTGTGGGTTTATCCTACCAACACTAGTAGCTAGAGTTGCCGTGGTAATTACTACACCACAAATTCTTCGTGTGACGTCTTTCCTCCCCGCTAACTTTCCTCGTCTTGCTGTCCTGCACCTCTAGCAAGAGCACCACGCCATCCTTGTTATCATCGTAGGCGGTACGAAGCTTCACGCGGTGAGCTTTGCTGGTGTTCTTCTTCACTTCAGCTTGCGAGATGTGCACTTTAAGCAGAGCTGGGGTAGGGTCCACTTTGGCGTACACTTCCGAGACAGGAGGCGAAATCTTTTCCTTGAGCTTGGCGAGCTGCGCAGCCGACACAGTCCACTTGGAGCTCGTAGCAGAGACCATATTTTCGCTCGTGAACTGATTTCCCTTCCTTCTCTTTCCTTTTCAGAGCTGCAATTGCAATCTGCACCCGATCCGACTCGGAACATACACGGCTCGCGACCCGAAGTGGCTTCACCGGAAACCCCTAACCATCGCGACCCGGGACCCAATCCGACTAGTACATCTACCCAGCGCTAAGCTTAAATTAAAACACCAGGTGCCATGAGTTGAGTTTGTAGGTGCGTCAATCTAACCTAGCACCCCATGCTGTCGTGTTGTGTTTTAGTGGAATCATGGTGTGTGGGGAGGGGGATTATGCGTTTTTGTGGGGAATAAACTGCAATCAATCGGCACCACTTCTGACCCCATCTCACCACTTTTGACCACTTTTTGTGCCGCTCAGATCCTTGATATCTGGTTGGCAGACACACATTCCGAGACTAACTACGGTACGAGCTCTCACGCCCCGTGGTAAAGCGCCACTGGCCAACTCGCTGCAACGGCGGACACTTCGACTGTAGGGCAAGCCAGCCAAGCGTATCAAGGTACTATTGACCTACTTATCTAATAGAAAACGGTCTAAGCTAACGTGTTGTGCTCTGCTGTCGCTCTGTGGTCGTGTACAGTGCGGATTGTCAGTGAGATCGCCGCATATCTTCTTGCGCTGCGGCAGCTACTGCAGGACATCTCCCTGCTACGCTTTTGTGGCTTTATGCTTTGCGTGGGCGTGCTTGCTGCCACCTTCAGAGCCACCTTCTTTTCCTTCAGTCGGCACCAAAGAGCGTTTGTGGATAAGGGCAGATTGGGGTAATACGACTTGTACACTGCATAGATACGCTCCCATTTGCCGTTCGAATTTGGTATTGACTTAGCCAGCTTGCGCAGCTTGTGGATATGGTCGTGAGTTATTGTGATCGGAAGGGACGTTATTGCGAAGCACTCGGTCGTGTTGAGGCCGCTATCTGCAGGGCACGGCTGATTGTGTTGCTGCGTTGAGACTGCTGCCACTTCGTGCGTTGAACTTGGACCTTGAAGGCTGGTAGATCGTGGTAAACCCGGCGCGAGACTGCTGTGCGTGGCTAGTGGATCTGTCACCGGTGGCGATGGTATCTCCAATGAGTTCAGGGGTACGGAAGGGCTTTGTGCTGATGTTCGGGTCGTCTCGGTACTATTATCAATGGACTTGTCTGTCTTGTTGGCTGCGTCGCCTGTGCTAGATACCATGCTGCGGCGGTTAGATATTTGGGTAATATTTGCATTGGACTGGTGTGTAGTGGAGCGGAGCCATTATTCCAGGCGACAATTTGAGTTTTATCTTCAATTTTGCTGCATTCGACTGCTGCTTCATGTTGTTCCATTTCGTAATCAACGCTGCTGGAGTCTTAGGGTAGATACCGGCACAGATGCAGGTTGCAAAGTCATACACCATCACGAATACTTGTCTCCTTTTGCGAATCCCGTTAAGCTGACGAAGCGCAGAGAACAGCTGGGAGAGTAGCTCCAGCTCGCGTGGCGTTGTTTCGGCACATGGATTCGGACTCGAAAACCTGAATAGTCTATATGGGTCATTCGTCGCTGGTGGGGTCTTCGTGGCCAAGCAGTTAATCTTTGCAGCTAGCGTGGCAAAGCTGCGGCGTCTCAGTTTCAAGCGCTGGTTGCCGTTGGGCGAGACTGCCATATTATATAACAGCGTAGTAACAAGCGAGCATTCTGACCAGCTCCGTCCAGCTCGTTTCTGCTCCATTTGCACCTGACGAAGTAGTGCGTACTCTTCCGAAGAAAACCTGCAGCAGTTTCATAGTCGAGCTCAGCGAGGCACAGTGAGTTAAAGAAATCCGCTTTGGAGAGTTTGCCAGTTTCAGTGAAGACTATCTGCTTCATGAGAAGCTCCTTAATGCTGTCGTTGTGCTGTCGACTGCGCTGAAGATTCGCCTCCAGAGCCAGCGTGTCAACGCTTGCTGTCTCGAATATCTGACGCCAGCTCTCGAATGAATAATCAAGGACTGTACGCTGGCTGAGGAAGAGGTGTTGAAATTAGCCGGGTGACGAACTTCAGCTGCGGTGACTCCGCGATAACTCCACGGCACACGTTGCCGTCTGTGCGAGCGTGAGAATATCGGCATGGTGCATTGGCGGATTTCGACCGTAGTTAGATCCGACTTTCAGGTTATGCTGCAAAATAAAAATGTCGAGAATCCGTAAGCCAACATCGACCGAAACAGACCGAGCGAGCATCTTCTTACGGGCCGAGCGAAACCCTTCAAGCTGACTTGTAGACACGGACGTCTTTGCCACCACCCTCTTTGAAGACGTTATCGTGAACGTATAGATCTCCACGTTCGATCTGCTTCAGATTGCTGTTGACGCCCCCTTGCCATTCCGA